AGTGCCAAGATGTACAATAGCCTCCACTTCACAGTCCTTGCTGGCATTCTTGATTATTTTACAAATACGCTTCTTGTCCCTACTGGCAGTAGCACCTGGAAGACACCTGACCTCATTCGAAACCTCTGTGTCCTTTCCTAAATTTACATCCCTTATAATTGAATCACCAACCAGAAGGTGGTTTCTCTTTTTGGGTGCTCTTCTGTTCTTGTGTGACTTGTGTGTAATACCTGATTCGCACTTCTCCCTGTCGAAAACAAGTTCATCTCGGACCAAGATCCCCTGCTTAATTGAGTTGTCATCACAAATATCTTTACCTGTCTCCTTAATGTCCCTATTAAGGTCAGCAAGGGCACTGTATCTGTTGTGCAGGGACACAGCAAAAGCTTTGTGTTTATGGTTCACAGCTCTCACCCTGCCAGATCCCACGGTTGTCCACAATGCCCTTCTCCTACAGGATCTTTGTGGTAGAGGGGGCTGATAGCTTGGAGGCTCAGTGGAGTAGAGGGGCTGAACTGGACACCTAATTTCTGCCTGAAGAGCAGAGATCACAGACCCTAGATAGGTAATCTGTCCTTGTAGACTAGTGATTTTTTTTAGTTGATGTTTTATAGATTTGCCTATAGATAAGGGATGAGATATTGGGTGAAGAGATATCTGTTTAATCTTACAGGAGGTGAAAGATATTAAATTATACATCTGATGAAGGTTGGAAATCACTTGTTTATATATTTCTTTTTCTTTACTGCATTCTTCCTTTTTCTATTTCTTTCTTTTTCTTTACTGCATTCTTCCTTTTTTCTTCATTCTTTTTTCTGTTTTCCTGCACTGCTAATTCTTTCTCTCCATTCTTTTTCTCTTAAGTTTAATTTGTATTAGTTTAACTGCTATAGTTCAAATTCTTAGTGTTTTTAAAATCTTAAAAAATTATCTTTCTCCAACTACCTTCCTCCTGATTCGTCCAAGCAAAGAAAGCATATTCCTGCTTTCCTCCTCTTTTCTTCCTTTGCAGAGGTAGAACCTTTCAAGATGCCACATCTCTCAGAGAAGATCCTGCTGCGGCTTCTCAAACATCCCAACGTCATCCAGGAGATGAAATTTGACCACAAAAACAAGCGAGCACCTGAACACTATCTTTACCAGCGTAACCGCCCAGTTGACTATTTTGTGCTCATCTTACAGGTTTGTCATATGACAGAAATTTGTAACATCAACTTTATTGTTTACTATAGGAAGCATTTATATGGTCAGTTAGTCTAGAATAAGCACTTGGCTTGCAAATAAAAATCCAGATATGAGTTTCAATTTTACATACAGTATATTTGTTTCAGACTTTAAAATAAAGAGGAACCACTCAGAGCAGAAAAATAATTTTTAGAAACTTGGCTTGAAGCGTCTCTATGCTTTATCCAAATAAGTTTGACAATATGTTTTCTTCTATCACTAGTATACATTATTCATATTTTTTTGAGTTTAAGTAATATCCAACTAGTCATTCAAATTTAAAGAGTACCATGAATTTGGAACTGGGATTGAAAGATTATGTTTTAATTTAATTAGTATTGTTTTAATGCTTCCCTAAGAAATTTTCTTAGGATTGGTTAACCTTGCTCATTTTTTCTTAGGTCCTTTAGTTGTACTGTTCTTCCCCTTGATATTTCCGTAGCTGCTATATTATTGAGTACTTTCGACTATAAATCAGGTATAGATGCTCTAAATTCTGTTACTACTCTTATTCTCAACCTAACCTTTCAAGATATCTTTTCTGATGTTCCCCAGCTATTTTGATTCATATTACTATTTTTTTCTTTTATGAAGGAACACCTACAAATATTTGTGAATGAACTGGCCTTGTCTTGCCTGAAGTTATTTTCTTAAGTTACATTGTGTATATTTTTCCTTTTTTCAGTGGGTGATCAGATATGGTGGAAGAGAGATGACTGGTGCAGCTGGATTACATGCTTTTGTTTTGTTTGTTTTGTTTTTTTAGGGAAAAGTGGAGGTAGAAGTGGGAAAAGAAGAATTGCGATTTGAAAATGGTGCTTTCACATACTATGGTGTCCCAGCAATCATGACTGTCATCTATTCAGGTTAGAAATCTAAAATTAACCACAGAATGGGATGATAGAAGTCACAGAAACAGAGTGTTCAGAATAAATGAGCCTAAATATACAAGAACTTGCAAATTTATTCTGATTTTCACTCTACTAAACACTTAGGCAAATATCAGGTAAATAAAAACAAAACAAAAGAGGACAGATACCATAATGCAGGAGAGGGCTAGGAAAAACTACCGGTATGTAGCAAGGATGCATAACATCTGTTGGCTCAAGAGTTACTCCAGGCTTTGCATGATACAATAAGAGTTACTACTCCAAGAGTAGTAGATCCTGGGCCTGGATCAGGAGGAAGCACAGAGGTTTGTAAGGAATGAAATGTGTAAAATATTTTTAAGCAGAACACCTTCATTTCACATTACATGAAATTGCAGTAGTGCAACATTAACAGAAAAAGCATATGTTGGGAAGAAAGAGATTTATAAAGCAATTTTCTTTTCTTTACAACCAGGCACGTCTTGGAAAACCAAATAATAACAATATTTGAGCCTGATCCAGGCAAGCAACAGTTGATATTAACCTCCTGCCTCTATGTGCCTGAAAAATGTGTCTCTTTCCTGTTCAGAGCAGACAATAAAGGTCTGATTGGGGATTCACCTTCCCTTTTTTCCATCTTTTCAGATAACGATGGGCGTAAAATGAGCAGCCTGGCTGGATCATCTTTCCTGTGTACGTATCTCCTACCTGACCTTTTTTTAAAATAAGGTGGTATAGAGGACCATTTTCATTAAGCGTTGCCAGCTCTACCAAAAAAGTTAAATAAAGTCCACCGTTTCTTGACATCTCAATCCTACTCCAACAGAATTATGAATCAGGATGAGGTGGGTCAGCTACAGTAGATAGTCCATCATGTAGTTTTGCCACATAACCATTTTTAAATATATAATCTGATACACATACTTTAGAGCAGCCGTTCTGATGACACAATTGATAGAACTGTAGATTTTGATTAAGCCAAGGCTATTTTTTAAGGTTGGTTTACTAAACAAGACATACCTGGTCTTGTTTGCAAAACACCCTAAGGCATTTGATAAAGTAGATCACAACCTACTACTTAATAAGATAGAAAAATGTGGGTTAGACAGCATCACCACCAGATGGATCCATAGCTGGCTGCCCGGCCGTACTCAGCGTGTGGTCCTCAATGGAACCGCATCTACATGGAGGGAAGTGTGTAGTGGGGTGCCCCAGGTCTCGGTTCTGGGCCCAGTGCTCTTCAACATCTTCATCAACAATTTGGACGAGGGGATAGATGGGGAACTCATCAAATCTGCAGATGACACCAAGCTGGCAGGAATAGCCAACACTCCAGAAGACAGGCTTAAGATACAGGAGGACCTGGACAGACTTGAACACTGGGCGCTATGTAACAAAATGAAATTCAATGGTGAAAAAAGTAAGGTTCTACATTTAGGCAAGAAAAACCAAATGTACAGGTATAGTATAGGGGGTACCTTGCTCAATAGTAGTAACTGTGAGAGGGACCTCGGAGTCCTAATGGACAATCACTTAAATATGAGCCAGCAGTGTGCTGCAGCTGCCAAAAAGGCCAACACAGTGCTGGGCTGCATTAACAGAGGGATAGAATCAAGATCACGTGAAGTATTAATACCACTTTACAATGCCTTAGTAAGGCCACACTTGGAATACTGCATCCAGTTTTGGTCACCGCGATGTAAAAAAGATGTTGAGACTCTAGAAAGAATACAGAGAAGAGCAACAAAGATGATTAGGGGACTGGAGGCTAAAACATATAATGAACGGTTGCTGGAATTGGGTATGTCTAGTTTAATGAAGAGAAGGACGAGGGGGGACATGATAGCAGTATTCCAATATCTCAAGGGCTGCCACAAAGAAGAGGGAGTCAAGCTATTCTCCAAGGCACCTGAGGGCAGGACAAGAAGCAACGGATGGAAACTAATCAAAGAGAGAAGCAACCTAGAACTGAGGAGAAACTTCCTGACAGTTAGAACAATTAATCAGTGGAACAACCTGCCTCCAGAAGCGGTGAATGCACCAACATTGGAAGTTTTTAAGAAGAAACTGGACAGCCATTTGTCCGAAATGGTATAGGGTTTCCTCCCTGAGCAGGGGGTTGGACTTGATGACCTCCAAGGTCCCTTCCAACTTTATCATCATCATCATTATCATCATCTTCATCATCATTATTATTATTATTATTATTATTATTATTATTATTATTATTATTATTATTATTATTATTATTATTATTATTATTATTAAAAGACTGGACAGCCATTTGTCTGAAATGGTATAGGGTTTCCTGCCTGAGCAGGGGTTTGGACTAGATGACCTCCAGGGTCCCTTCCAACTTTATTATTATTGTTATTGTATTATAATATGAAGCCAAGTATGTTAGTTAACTCATTACTTATGCTGGGAGTTGTGAAGTTCTCAGTTTAAAGTTATATAAACACAAAGAAAACTGCTTTAGTACTCTACCCTGAACCAGTTCCACAGTAAAGTATTGGTCCCCTTTGGAGCAAGGCATGACATGCGTCCAATAGGATGAGTTTGAGCATCTCAGGGGCAGTGGGAATTAGGGAGGATGAGGAATGACGAAATCATGGAGATATCATAAACCATCCCAGACAAAAAGGGTCACAGATAAATATTTATGAATACCCTGTTCTGCTACTAACATAGTCCATTTGATACTTGATTAATTAGTGAGATATTTAAATATGTTGATCACCAGCTTGGTTCTTTCTAGACTGTTGGACTTCATAATCAGTCATCATAGTTAATTTATAGTAAAATGAAGCTGGTGTAATACATTTTTTCTTTCCTATTCCTTTTCTGTAATGAACAAATCAAGTGCAACCCTAACCTTCATTTGGCTGACCAGTTAAGTACATTAATATATCTACCACAGGTATCCATAGTCCCCTAGGGAGATTTCTGCAGTCAGTTTTAGCTAACAGCAGCATCTATTGTTGTTCCATGTCATTGCTGGTTTCATTTTCTTCTCTACTTTTTGTTATCTCTTACTGAGGGCTCAAAATACATTTTTTTAAAAGCTCATCTTATCATCCTTGACTTACTTAGTTGCTTCTGCTGGCCCCATTTCTTTGTTTCCTTACCAATAATTCTCCCTCCCTCTCAGCCTTAGTGCTCAATCCAGAGCAGAAAAAGAAGAACATAATTTGTGCCAAACATACGGTAAATGTGTGCATTTGTGCATTATTTCCCTTGCCTCTGAAAGCTAGAGCTGGTCCCGCATAAACTATTCTGAATAGTAATATAGTCAAATAAGTGTGCGCTCAGTGCAGTTCAGGTAAGTCTGTAAAAATAAGGCAACTTCTAAAGCTTGGATCTGTTAACTCATGAATATTTTAAAATTATCTGCATTCCATTGTTTGTGTTTTTGGTGCCATCAAATGGTGATTTGTGGAAGTGCATCATGGATTTATAAATGCTCATGAAGTATTTATTAAATCCACTGTTTTTAATTTCTGTGAGTCTCAATGTAGTGATGTGAAGTGAGATGCAATATCCAGGATATAATGCTAGGTAGCCTGCAGAGGAACATTTTTTTCAAAACTTACTTTCTGTCTATTTCTCCTTGCCCAAGTTATGTAGAAATAAAACTAAATTTTCCAAATCCTGTCCATGATGCTGAGTAGGTCACTCTTTGTTCCTTCTAAAGCTTCCTTGCTCCTTTTCCCTTTTCTCCTGGTTTTTGTCTCCTGATCCTTGTCTTCTCTCTAGTGCCCGTGTCTGTGTCCCGTACCTTTGCCTTCAGCCGAGGGGAATCTTTGGCTGGCTCCCCAGGTAACAATATACTGTACATGTCACCCAGAAAGAGCCCCAGTTTTGCTGCCTTGCGATTCTGGGTGTGTGTCCTTCTCTGACTCTTTCCTCCTATGAAAAATACAGGCTTAGAATATCCTGCATGCTTGCAAAACAAATCATTGTGAACCTGTGTGCATGTGTTCTGTTTGTCTACAACTGAATCTGTTTTGCCCATATGAAGCAATATTTTGTGTCCAGATCCGTGCATATTATTAGAACGATGACTGTTTTTCTCATGCTGCTGTCATACAAAAGATTATTTTTAATAAAAGAAGTTAATATAGTGCAAAGCAAAGGACTAACTTGTTATTGTGCTTATTTTCAAAAATATGCTTGGGTCCCTTACAAAGGGCTCATTGACCTTATAAAGAATAATCTGAAGGCTGGATTGTCTTACAGGAAATGGGTAATCTGGGATTGCTGTGCTCATAATAACCACTTTTTGACAATTGATACTACATAATCTCAGTGGCTAAAATATCGCCTAACCCTTTCCACCCTAGGAAATATGTTAGTCAAAAGTATGTCCCAGTCATCTGAGGAGGAGAAAGCTATTAAAGAGGGCTGTAACGTTTCACTTAATTGACTGTGGTTCACTGCTGTAGCAATACATGCTTCTGATTGATAATAGAAATATATTCTCTCTGGTGTAGGGGGGAGTCTTACTTAAGAGATATCTTCTTAATAAAGCAGTCAAGTGGCAATAATTGAAGGAGGGAAAGAACTAATGATAATACAGAAAAAAAACCTACCGGTATATAAGCATTCACTCAAAAACACCTGTGTAATTCAGACCATTAAAAGGGAAAGAATTAAAAGTGTGTGAAAGGTGTAGTTCTAAGTTATTGCCTCTTTTGAAGCAATCACAGTTTATAAACTCTTGTGCCATAAGAAGTATATTCACAATTCTTTCTTATGCAGATCCACTTAGAAATACATCATGTTGTGGTCAGTAAACTCTCTTTAATGCTGAGTAATTATAGCAGTTTCTATCAAGAGTGATGACTTTTAGAAGTATAACTATAGAATTTATCAGCCAGTATGCCTATCTGATTAGATGGAAATACTAGGAGTTATTAAAAAAAACTTTGATTGTATTCAAACATCAAGTTAAGGAAATCTGTAATTCAGAATTGTAATTTAAATAATCAAGGCTCTATATCTATACAAACTTCCCAGCAGTAAGTTCTTTTTGGAATGGGTCTTTGAGACGACATGGGGTGCCATTAGTTTCTGTAGTAGTATTTCTAGAATAGGAAACCTGGAAATAAATGGAGGTAATAATACAAAAAAACAAGAAAAATGAAAAACAAAAATTAAAAAGGAGAGTGAAGGACAAGAGAATGGTCAGTAGATAGGCAGCAAAAGTGAATTTAAATATAGGAATTTGGCACTAGAAAAATAAAGAGATACTTAAAAGAATCCTAAGTTAAGTATAGATGCACCATGGAGAGGAACCAGCTACCTCCATTTCTGGAAGAAGAGTAGTATAAAGGCAGCAGCATAAAAGCTGATCCCCTTCTAGTAGAAGCAATTGAAATGTAGTCTTATATTTCACTGAGGTATTAAACCAAGAAGATTTTACTGGAATATACTTTGTTTTTCCTTTAAAAAAAATCTACTACTTTCCTTTTTCAATTCTGCTTTTAGTCTTCAATCATCTTGGCCTTGGCAAGCCCTGATTATTGTTACAAAGTCCCTGTTCTGTGAGCCTGAACACAGAACAGAAAGCATAACATGTAGGAACTGGGAAACATACTGTAGTGTTTTGTTTTGGAGATTTCTAAAAGAACTATTCAACACATAAACCTTCATATTTTTTCCAAGTTTATGCAGAATGAAAAGCCAAGAGCTCTTATGGGTGGAGTTCATTGCAGACAAATTTTCAGTGTTAAGAACAATTAAGGGAATCTTAAGCAGTTCATCCCCAAATTTTAAGCATTGTTTTTTTCTTTTGTTCATCACTTCTTCTTTATTTCTAGTGAATCAATCTCCATCACGTTGCAGTGGATTAAACCGCTCAGAGTCTCCAATTCGAGAACGTAATGAGTATGGAGGCAGCAGCACCCAACTACATAGTGGCTGCAACAACAACATATACACTCCAGATTATTCTGTTCATATTCTGTGTGATGTACAGTTTGTCAAGGTATCTGCTGGACTGAGTGTGATTGAAAGAAGTGCCCTCCTTATTGTTCTTTTATGCCATGGCTGTCAAACTCGCCGCATCACGTGACATGTCGTGACGTATTGCGACTTTTTTTGCATTGCCAGAGGTGGGGTGGGCGCGGCCTCCACATGATGCAATTGGCCCATGGGCCGGCAGTTTGATATCCCTGTTTTATGCCATGGAATATGAATAGCCTCATGCTAGGATTGTTCCATGCATCATGTCCAAGAAAATGTCTACAAGATTGCACTTCATGTGAAAATGGGTTTGTTAACTGCATAATTAATTATCAGGCATGCTGGATATAACACAGAGATAATGTGAATCTGGTGAACTTACTAACTTGACTTAGAAGTGAAGAGACAAGACAAAGTTGAATGATAAAGGAAAAATGGGTAGGAGAATATACAATTTTGGCTTTCAGCAAGCTTTTAGAAGAGACAAGGCATCCTTGTAAATCTTTGGCTTCTGATGAGTACAGATGTGTAGCCTAAAGATTGTGTGAAATTTAGCTGTTGGGAACATGCAGTTTTACTCCTCATTATTGCCAGCTGTGCTGTGAATTTACTTGACTGACCTCTACCAAATCATGAAACAGATGTCATGCGTAATGACCAGCACATGATAACAATTCTCACTTCTTATTTTGCAAATAACATTTTATTTTTAAGAAAACTATTCTGCAACAGTATAGCATTTCAGCAGTGCTATACATTTCAACACCAATAATATTAACTACTGTATATTTTTCTATCTGACATTAGCACATATACATTTCTTTCTTTGCTCTCTTGCCTTTTAAACAACAGCAAAAATGAGCTCCGTCCAAATAATGAAAGGTATCATGGTTTCAGGTTGTGTTGGATCTGGAATGCAATGATCTTGGAATAAAACCCCATTCATTAAGGGTTTTGATTACTCTCTGCTTAAATTCTGTGAGAAAAAGGCAGAAACAATATGATGAATGCAACTTGGAAAGCAAATATGGTGTTGAGGAAAGTCATATTGCTGTGAGCAGAATAGTAAATCATAAATAATGTTGCAGGGGAGAAGGAATATTGAAGGGAGACTAATGTATAGAGGGTGTAGTGGTTAAGACACTGGACTAGAAACTAGGAGATTGTGAGTTCTAGTCCCGCCTTAGGCACAAAGCCAACTGGGTGCCATTGCACCAGTCATTCTCTCAGCCCTAGAAAGGAAGCAGTGGCAAACCACTTCTGAAAAGTATACCATAAAAACAGCAGGTACTAGTCCAGGCAGTTGTCAGGAGTCAAAAATTGACTTGAAGGCAGCCCCCCCCCCGGCGCCAAAAACTGTAATACAAATGATGAAATGAAAGAAGAAAAGGGTAGCTCTTCACAGGTGAGAACTGCACAGAGTTGAGGTGAAAAAGGATCAGAATTGGGAAGATGAGACAAAGGAATTTATTTAAGGCCTGATTTGTGGAAAATATGAAATATGAACCTGAAGGCAACAATAGAAGTACATAGA